TGCATGGGATTTGCATGGATATGTAGGAATTAAAGTGCATCAGTCTAAACGTAGAAATTCGGAATGTCAAAATTGATAGAATATAGGCTGGAAAAGCGAGTACCAGGTAAACTAGTTTCAGAGAGAGCTTTAGTTTTACCAAGAACTCGAATACAAATCGTATACAATTATGAATGCCTAATAAATAATATTAGGAAATATGAAAAAAGTTAAGAATGAAGTATAGCATAGGCATATCAAGCAGTGTAAACTGAGAAGTCAATCATTCCTAGAAGAATGATTATATAATTAAAATATAATCAAGCTTTGAAAGAGCCCAATCAGAAATATCGTTGTTAACATGCAAAAGTACAGAGTTAAGTCCTACCAGATCCTAATAAAAATTGCTTTATTATGCAAGCGCAAGAATGGAAACAATTGCAATTGCATTTCACGCATTTTGGCCAATAGCAATTGGATTGAATAATTATTGTGGTCAGAATCACATTTATTTTTTTTTATTATTTCGTTAGAAAGGAAAATCGTTTAATGCTCTTAGTCAGCGTGATTATATGATTAAAAGACATCTTTGACTTATAAGTCTGTCTATTTCTAACATAGTTTTTAGCAGAGTTTTTGTAATCTACCAATTTTTAATTATTATTTATAATTCTAACACTCATTTAATGGAATAAAAATGTTGTATATTCCATAATGACAGTGCTTCATCCATTCTACGTTTATAAGCTTTATAATATATTTGTCCATTTTAATTTTACCAATAGTACCATCGTCAAGAAAGGAAGTCCACCATGGCAGCCACTATAGATACCGAACAGCAAGCATATCATAACTATTGCAATACATTAATATACCTAAACTCTGCCTTCACGGTGATGTTTTCTATTGAATGCGTACTTAAAATAATGGCGTTTGGACCAAAGGTAATTTTTTTCTCCTTAATTAAATCCAAATAACTCCTGTGTAATAAAAGTAATAAATATCTTGCAAGAAAACTTAAATATTTTTGGAAAATTGTTTTACGTATAATATATAAATAAATCTGATTTTAACAGTCTGTTTTGGTTGATATTCAACCCATGATATAGTGTGTGTAATATCTAACTTTTTTAGGTAGACCGTATACTTTGCGGATTTGGCCATGATTTTAACGTATAGAACTATTAAGTTAAGTTATTATATAATAGTTTAAAAAATTTCGTTACCCCTTTCATTCCATTAGCCATGCTCAAACTGAGTGGATCACTCACATAGCTGTTTAATGTTGATAGAAACAAGTTTTTCACTTAGATATAGCTCCTATGAGTAAGTGCTTATGAAGGAGAAGAATTATATTATTACTCGCATAAAATAGCCATTTGACAAATGTTCTTTTATTTTTATTACTCAAGTTGTATATCTTAAACACATTTCGATTTAATTCTTTATAGTCAAAATTCCATCAATATCTTTTTGTTTGTAGAATTATTTCCGAGACAGGTGGAATATTTTTGATTTTATAACTGTCATTGGAAGCATAACGGATGTTTTGGTTTCGGAACTGCAGGTATAATTAATATTTAAATAAGCTGTCCGCTTTTTGCAGTGTTATAAAAATATGATGGGTGATTATGTACTAAATGCTAATATTACATAGGAAAAAGTATAGGAAGGAAGTTAGGCTTATATGTGCTTGACAATTTTAACAAAGAAATGTAACAACTTAAAAAAAAACTTGAAAGACTAAAATGTTAGTGTAGTAAGTGATGAAAGCGGAGTTAGGTAGTCATTATTTTTCTTCTTCTAATTAGAATACTCGCTTATCAATGTTTTGAAAAAAGCAGCTAAAGAAATATTATCCTGCTAAATGGCATCGATGCTAAAAAAAGTGGCATTAGACTATCGCAATCTTTTTGATAATTTCTGATAACTTTTACGTAAGGATCAGAGTAAAATATATTTTAAGGATATGCCGCAACTTTTTTTTAATTTTTAGCAAGATATTAATTCTCTTGAATGTATAACATTATTAAGACAGATTCTGCATATTCAATTCCCTTATATATATACATTTAATTGGCGGTCTATAAATAACATAAATCATGAGATGAAATGATGTTTTGCTTGTAATTCTCATGACGCCAATTAAATTTAAGAATAAATAATTTATAAATATCCTAATTGCACAGAATATTCACTTAGAGAAATATCATTTTTATTGTACGGATTTCTGAGTAGTATTATAATTCTGGAATCAGATTCTAATTTAGATAGCCTTAAGGTAGTCTAAAATTGCCTAGATTTATATAATTTATTAAACATGAAAAGTAAAACAAAGATATTTTAGTGCTAGGTGGAAGTTTTTTGGGTCGAAATTAATTTATAATACAAGTCTTTTAGTTCAGTTGACATTTTTTTATTTTATAAAAAATTGTAACATTTATATTTCATATTAAGAATATATTTTCAAATATTTATCCTATTTTAATCCATTTTATTTTAACTTGAAATTTGTATTATTGAAATTATCCAATGAGATAAATTATAAATTATTTAGAAGATTTTTAGGACATTAAAGGTGATTCTAAGAAGTTAATTGCGCAACTATTTAATTTTGCACTAAATGCATTTATATTTTATATTTTTGTTATACAAACTTTCTCAAGGGCTAAAATTAAAAAAGCTCCTATTTTATGATATAGAAACACACCATACAAATATATTAACCCTAAAATTTGAAATATTTTATAAACCAGATGAATAGCTTGAGCTAAGACCTAATATGCATGTCAGCTTTCTAAGCGCACCCATATGACTACAATTATATTTAACCTATTTACGCAGATATAGAATAAAAGATACTTTAAATTGGTTTATTTATCATACTGGCACTTAGTATTTTGTTGCAAATAGAAAGAATTTGCCTCTATATAATTTAATATTGTTGAGTTGCAATTTGAATCCTTTAATTGTAATCCGATAAATTTGAAATATTCTGACTGAGAAAGTGGTAAGACTTGCCTCTCAGTTTTGCAGAGCTGTTCGAATTTCCCTTCATGCAAAGACGATTAGTGATTAAGAGAATTCTAATTATATAATTCCATATACAATTCATTTTCTTCTCAATGAATAAGTCAATAAAAATTTTATATTTATCTTTATAAAAAGTATCGAAGAGTATTTGGTCAGATATTATGATGCAAATGGATGTAAAAGTAAATTCCACAACACAAATTGCTAATATGCATAGGGTATATATAATAATTTGCTGATATTTTGAAGATACTTATTCTTAACTTTGGTGCAGCTTTTTATGTAATTTTATTCCGTTTATATGATGGCCTTAAAAATATGTTGATTAAATATAATCCATTGAATGAAGGAGGAAATACATTAAACTAAGTCTTTAAATTCTTTATACATTATCTGAAAATGTTTCTACTTACTGAGATGGATTTTTATATTGTGCTATTCTATATTCTGCATATCCATATGGTTATTTATCAACGTTTATATAAATATTTTCGAGAATATTATACATCTTTTATTTCACCTCAAAATCAGGAGTCCGCTTTTTTGAGTCTTGGATTTCTTCGACTCTTCCGTGCAGCAAGATTGATTAAGTTATTGCGTCAGGGCTATACAATTAGAATTCTAATGTGGACCTTCATACAATCTGTCAAAGCCTTGCCTTATGTCTGCCTTCTGATAGCAATGCTTTTCTTCATCTACTGCATCATTGGCATGCAGGTAAGAAGGCGAAGTTTTCTTGTAATAAAAAGTAGACTGGCTCAAACGAAAACTAAGACAAATGAGTTAGAACTTTAGAGAGTTAGATATTGGTTCTCGGCTGATATATATATATATATATAATAACGAAACATAAGGATAGTTAAACCCTTTAAGAACCCTTAGCTGATGTTAAAGATCCACAATAACCTAAATTTAAGCTACAAAAGCTTGAGCTGATTTCGAAGTTATACCTTATTAAATATACATGAAAACGAACTAATAAATAGTCTAGAAGTTGTTTGAAGTCGTTCTGCAACTAGGTCATATTGTAAAGGAAACAAAGATGAACTCATCCTATTCGGAATCTATAGTACCCATGATAATTTCCAGCGTCGTGATTTGAATCGTCAGTGGGTATTGCCCTTCTTAGCACCAACCTCGAACCGTCAAATAAAAAAGTGAAATCAATCCTTTGACCATTTGTATGCTAAACACTTGTGGTACCTCTCCTTCTCTCCTGGCGCATTCACTGATCCCATATCCTCGTAACACCTCTTGACTATCATGAGTTATTACTTGCTCATTTAATATGCTAAGAAAGTTTGAGTTTTTTAGCATTTCATTGGATAAGATTAATGTGAAGACTTTCATTTCATATGAAAGTACATGATGAATAGATTCGTAGGTCAATCTCACCAGAAGACGTCAGCTGATTCGCGTTGTACCGCAGCCGTTTGGCTCTAATACCTACACGTCATATTAATGCCAAACGGCTGGAGTACAACGCGAATCAGCTGGTGTCTTCCGGTAAGATTGACCCACAAGTCTCTTCATCATGTGCCTTCATGCGAAATGGAATTTTTCGCATAAATTTGTTTATTTAAGCCTAGTTTTAGGTGTGCCTTTTTGAGTGGATTCACTTTCCTTGTTGGTTTCCTCATCCCTTTGTGCTGGTAGTATGGATCTGTGCCTCTCCCTTATTCAGCAATCCTCTTCATGCAGGTCCTATTAGAGTAAAATGAGGTGAGAGCATATATCCCATGGGTAGACGCAATATTTGCTTATAGGCACTATTGTTGAAGTTAAAATATGTGGCCCCTTCTGCTATGCTCATCAGTCGTGTTTAAGTATCTTTCCGTATCAACTCTGCCCCAGGATATTTTATTCTCTTTTTTCATGAGCTCCAGCAGGACGCTTACTGCATTCTCACCTAAAATTCTTCTATACATGGATTTTACGTCTAAGCTAGCCCACAATTTCGTCTCCGCCAGCCCAATATTTGATATTTTAAGAGAAAATTTGTACAAGCTCTTGACGATGTTTGAGAGTCTGTTGTTCACTTTGTCATGCTGTAAGCACATTAAGTTCGCTAGCT